TTCACGAGGTTCCTGGGCTCCACCCTGGCCTCTTTCCTTCTCCCTCCTTCTGCCCTACCTAGGACTTCAGTTACTACCTGTGAGCCCATGACGCCAAAAGGCTTCTAAACGCCAGCCCCGGACCCTTGCAGGATACTTCCCCCTTACTGGCCCAATAGGATGAAACTCAAAATAGACTTGATTTCATCCCTCCTCCAACCCTGCTCTTTCTCCAATATCGTCAGTGTCTGAACTGCCACAGTAACAATCATGAGGACACGAATCCCCAGTGTGAATCGAGTGCCAACCCATCCCGGACACAGAACCAGCATTAACTTATTTCATTCTAACAGTAACCAGCCGAGGGGAATATTTCAGTCACATCCACTCCATAGAGAAGGAAACCGCGACCCAGAGACTAAGTAACTTGTGCAAGGTCACACAGGAATCAGGTGGCGATTTCAACATTGGTACCCAGGAAGTTCAGGGCCTGTACTCATGGGGACGATGTCGTCACCCAAGGCAGAAGCCTTTCTGCCATTCTTTCCTTGCCTTCCCTCCCTCCACCCATTCTCCACAATCACCTTTGCTTTTATTCATTTGACCATATCTGAGTGCCATCTTGTGCTAGGTATTGGGCTGGGTGCTGTGGGTACAGAGATAAAGGAGACATACCTGGGGTGTCCTCCCTTAGGGAGCTCACAGTCTAGCAGACACGGTCAAGCCCTGTGGCTTCTAAGCTTTTCCTCTGGCCCAGAGTCCCATGGTGAACAAAACCACGGTGAACAAAACAGACATGTTGCCTGTCCCAAAGGAGAGATGGATAATCATCAGAAAACTTGGACTCCGGAGCTGATGCGCTCTTCCTTGACACACTTTCTCACTTGGCTTCCAGCTCTCCCCGTTCTCCTGGTTCCCTCCCACCCCCATGTCCCTGGCTGCTCCTTCTCTAGAGCTGCTCCCTACTCTTCTCTTCAGCTTCTTAAGGCCTGCGTGCTCCAGGCTTAGTCCTTATACCCAGTCCTAGATGGTCTCTTCTAGTCTCGGGGCATTTGAAACACTGAGAACTCCCTAAAAAGTTTCTCTCTCATCATCAAATCTCCAGACACATTTTTCCACTCTGCCCCTTCATTCAAAGGTCTAATGACATAACAGCTGAGCTCCCACTCTTCTCCCCCAAACCTGCTCCTGCCTTGGTCTCCCTGTCTTGATTGATGGCAGCTCCGTCCTTCTGTTGCTTTTACCAAAACTTTGCAGTGATCCTTGGCTCCCCATTCTCTTTCACACAACCCATATCCACTCTATCAGCAAATCCTCTTGGCCCTATTTTAAAAATATAACCATCCCAAAATGCCTATCCTGGGTCACATTTTAATTTACACCTGAGCTTTTTTTTTTTTTTTTTTTGAGACACAAAATAGGAAATGCCCTCATGGAGTTAATCTCTTCATCATTTATAGTCTTTCTGTGTCTCTTGCTTGAAGGCATAACGAAGTCAATTAAAGAAGCAAATTCTGCCCTAGCTGGTTTGGCTCAGTGCATAGAGTGTCAGGATCCTGGCTTTGATTCCGGTCAAAGGCACATGCCAGGGTTGCAGGCTCCATCCCCAGTAGGGAGTGTGCAAGAGGCAGCCAATCAAAGATTCCCTCTCATCATTGATGTTTTTATCTCTCTCTCCCTCTCCCTTCCTCTCTGAAATCAATAAAAATATTTTTTAAAAATAAAACAAATTCTTTATATTTGTAATCTCCAAAAAATTTCACCCAAGGACTTAAGTTCCCTCCTTCTACCGGAGACTGAACTTTATGTCTTCATCCTGCTTCCATTTTTGCCCTGGGTGCCAGGAAGCTCATATCTAAATATGGCATCTGGTAGTGTAGTAACTATGTTGAACCTAACACTTTTTATACACTTAATTCTTCCTTCTCCTACTAGGTATTGGGAGACCTGGCTCTAGTCGTGGCTAATCACTTTACCTCTCTGGATTTCAGCTTCCTACCTATAGACTAAAACAAATTGGGGGTTATTTTATTTATTTTTTAAAATATTTTTATTGATTTCAGAGAGAAAGGGAGAGGGAGAGAGAGATAGAAACATCAATGATGAGAGAGAATCGTTGATCGCTGCCTCCTGCATGCCCCACACTGGGGATTGAGCCTGCAACTCGGGTATGTGCCCTTGAATGGAATCGAACCTGGGACCCTTCAGTCCGCTGGCCGATGCTCTGTTCCCTGAGCCAAACTGGCTAGGGCGAGGAGCTTCTTTTAAATAAGCTTCAGGAAGGCCCATGAATCCCCAGGAAATTGGGTTGCATGTGTGCATTTTTCAGGACAGGAGGGTTAGAATCATCACTGGAGTCTACAAAGGCGTCCAAGACCCCAAGAACAGCCATTTTGATGGGAAATCATTTTGATGGGAAATACCCTCAAAGCCCTTTTATTAAAAGGTATGTGTGTCTCTGAGCCTCCTCACACTGTGCCTCCTCCTCCCTGGGCCAGGATGCTGCCGAGGAGTCCTGCGCCCTCATCTGTCAGGTCTTCCAGATCATCTACGGGGACCAGAGCATCGAGTGCGTGGACCGGGCTGGCTACCACTACACATCCACGCCCGAGAGGCCGTGGCTCTGCAGCCGCAGTGAGTAGTCGAACTCCTGGCCTCCTCTCCTATGAAAGGCCAGGGGAGGGAGGATGCCCCAAGACTTAGGGCCAATGAAAGCCTTTAGGGGTTCTATCTCTCCTGCAATTACAGTGTACCCCCAATATGGGGTTCTTAAAAAATGTCCGTTTTCATGATGACCTCAAACCTAGCTGCTTCATAGATGTTCTGGTTGTCAGATTCAGAACAGCTGAACTTCTCTCTCCCTTTCGTTTTTGGTGTTCCTTCTTTTGCAGAAACTTAAGATAGTGCATTGTCTGTCTGTGAAGCTGGCTAGCCCCACTAGGACAGTAGGTCAAAACCAAAATTTCAAGACTGGTCCTTAAATACAAGCAAGGGCTGGAATGAGAATGAGACCCAGAGAGTATTTACTGAGCACCCACTATGTGCCAAGCAACCTTGTCTGTCCTGTTTGCCACTGTATCCTGTGTGCCTCGCCCAGGAACAGGGACATCACAGATGCTCAATTTTATTTTTTTGAATGAATGAAAGAACTCTCTGTGAGGCCTTATGATTCCAGTTTTACAGATGAGGACATTAAGGTTCAGAGTAGTCAATAAATTAATCAAGCATACACAGCTACTAAGTGTCAGAGTTGGGATTCAAACCCAGGTATTCTGATTCTAAAGCTTCTATTTGCACCAGCTTCACTCCCCATGCTGCCTTCAAGGCCACTAAGTGAATTTCCTCAGGCACAGCCCCCTCAGCGAGGTCCCTGTTTGCATAGTTCCAGTGACAGGGAGGTGGCTCTTTACTTCTGGAGGCACTCCCATCTGTAGAAACTCGCTTGAGGAAGCTGGGATAACTCATTAACGGTCACAGGAATGATAGGCAAATAAATGAGGTAATGCAATAAATATTTCAAGAAATTCATTCGACAAATATTTATTGAGCACCTACTATATGCTGGGCTCTGCTAATCGCCAGGATATATTGCTCAGCAAAACCAGATGTGGCCCTGCCCTTATGAGGCTTGCATTGCTGAGGTAATGTGACAGTAGTTAAATAGTTACAAAAATACAGTGCAACCACATGCTGTGCTATGAGAACATATAATGAGGAACCAGCCTGGCCTGGGGAGTCAGGGGAGTCCTGAGGAAGTGACATTGAGTGAGCCAAGATCCAAAGGTGAGGCTAGTACCTGGCATCAGTGAGGATAACAGGGCTAGGCACAGAGCCAATTCTCTGTAAACAGTGCTTCTTTACTCTCAAGACTGAGTTCCTTCCCTCTCAAAGTTCTTTTTTGTGCCACCTCAAACACATCCAGTTTACAAAATACACCCTCACCTGTTCCCACCGCTGTTATACCCAAGACCCTCTGAGGTAGACAGGAAGGTGATGTCCCAATGTTGGGGAAGTTGAGGGCCAGGTGACAGGAGGTGAGTTGCCCAAGATCATCTGTGTGTCAGGGGGTGAGGTGTGTGTGTCTGTGGAGGGGGGCAGGAATCGTGGTTAGCAGCTTCCAGTCGCTGCCCATTTCCGAGTAAATGCTAACATCCTTACAATTGTTTACAAGGCCATCTGTTCCAGCCACCATCCCAACCCCGGGGAGGGACTGAGGTTGAGGCCTCAGAGGCCGGGGAGGCTGGTCCCTGCTTTGCTTCCTCTGACAGCCCCTCTGTCTGTGGTCCCAGGTGACAGCTGCCGAACCGACGGGACTTATGCCTATGATGCCGACTTCAGCTGCTGCAGCTCTTTGTGGGTACCGCCCTTGCTGGGGACCCCACTCTCGCCCCCCCCACACACACACACCTGTTCATAAACAGGGTTGTGCTTCTAGGCATTCTTGAACCCCCTGTGGGTAAGAAAGGTGGGAGAAAGTGACCCCACTTTGATTTGTGCTGAGACATTGGGCATTAGGGTGGGAGGTAAACTGAACTCTGAGAGCTCAGAGGATTCATACCCTGAGAGACCTAGGAAGTGGGCCCACGTAGGCCTGTGGTTCTCGCCTAGTCATCCAGGCTGAGTGGCCTGCAAGGTCCAAAACCACAGCTAACGCTAAAGAGTCCTTTTGGTTTATTTTAGTTGAGGCTCCATGTAATAGAAAACCCTGAAAAAGAAGAATAGCTTAAACAAGATGGAGCGTTTCTCCCCTGTCTTTTACATAAACTATTAGGCCAGCATTTCATGCATGGTCTCGTGGTTGTTAGGGGCCCAGGCCTCTCTTTTCCTCCCTCCTCAGCACTTACTTCCATCCTGAAGGCCACCTCATGTCCCAAGAAGATGGTCATAGCTCCAGCCAGGGGGGCAGCATGCCAGGGGCCTCTTTAAAGAGCTTTGCTGGAATTCCCACCGGCAATGTTTGCTTACATCTCATTGGCCAGAACTTGGTCACATGGCTACAAGTAGGAAGGCTGGAAAATGTAGGATTAAAAAAAGGAAAAAAAATCTCACCACCATGCTAACACTGCTTCTCTGTAGGTAATAGAAAATGTAAAGACCGGGAGGCAGGTTGACTTTTTATTAAGCAACATTACTGAGCACCTACCACATGCCAGGCACTGTGCTGTGTGCTAGGGATACAGTGGGGAACAAGACAAGGACAAGACCCGTGCTTAACACATAGTAGGTACACAACAATTGAAGAAACACAAGTTCCCTGCTCTTGCATGGTTTACAGTCTAGCACAGGTGACAATGAAGTCATTATTTAATAGTAATGAGCATTAATGATAATAAGCACTAAAGAGAAGCTCAGAGTGCCAGGAGGGCCTCTCAGAGGTGATGACACTGGAACTGAGACCTGGAGAAGGAGCATTCTGGGAGAGGGCACAGCAAGTGCACGGATTCTGAAGCAGGATAAAGCTGGGTGTGTTTGAGGATCAGCAGGAGGCCCCTGTGACTATGGCAGTGACTGTGGTCAGAGAGAATGTTTGGTGAGATCTGGAAAGTCCTTGCATGTCATGAGTAGACTTTGTGAGCTCATTTGACAGAGGGTCTAATCCAGTCTGGGGAGATCAGGGAAAATTTTCCTGAGAAGATGACATTTAAAATCTAGGTACTCTCCCTCCCTGGAGCAGGCCCATGCTTCTCCTAAACGCTGAGGGACCCCAGGAGGCTTGCAACCAGGGAGCAATGGGCAGTGGCAGCTTGTCCCAGGTTAACCCCCTGAACCTGTCTCCAAGGCCTCTTTTCTCTGACTCCAGTGAGCTGATAGCAGCCCCACGTTGGCTCACTTTTTTCTCATAAAATTTCTAGAGAGCCAAAGCAACCCCACCTAGACTCCCCTGTTTCTTCTATCCTAGGCCTGTTCTTGTTTCACTGTCCCCAGCTTTAATAAATGTACTCTCAAAAAAATAAAAATAAAAAACATAAAATAAAATTCAGTGATGAATAAGAATTAGCTGAGCAAAAGATAGGGAGAGAGAGACATTCCAGGATGATGGAACAGAATGTGCAAAGGCCCAGAGGTAAAGAGGTACTTGGAGTATTAGAGGAAAGGAAGGCAGGGTGGCCCGAGCACAAACAGCAAGAGTGAGAAGAGGCTTGAGAGGCAGCCAGATAATGTGGGGCCTTGAAGGAGAAAATGGGACCTAGGATGAGGCCTCAGGCCCAGAGCACTGGTAGCTATGCCCTCCCACGTTCCACCCACGGCAGGAGAGGAGCTGGAGAGAGATGAGTGAGGACCCCTTTCTGCTTGTCCCTGCAGCAATGGCTCCCAGGACACATTTGAAGCGTGTTACAGCGGCACGTCCACACCCTCTTTCCATGACTCGCACTGCAGTGGCAGCGACCACAGCGCCTTGGGCCTGGAGCAATTGCAGGATTACATGGTCACGGTGAGCTGGGGCACCAGTGCAGACAGCACAAGCAAAGGCCTAGAAATTGGAGGAAACACAGGTTATTTCAGGAATCATAAATAATCTTGGACATGACTGAAGCATAAGACCCAGAGTGGGACGTGAAGTTAGGAGAGTACACTGAGGCCAGCTTGCTGAAAGGCCTAAACTAAGGTCAGCGAGCATTTTCAGAGGAGGGCTGGGCCACATATGCCCCTTAGAGAGGGCTCTGGGCCTTTCAGGAAGGGGTTGGATCGGGGTGCTTCCTGGGATTGATCTCGAATGGTGTCCCCACAGTTGCGGAGTAAGCTGGGCCCCCTCGAGATCCAGCAGTTTGCCCTGCTGCTGCGGGAGTACAGGCTGGGGCTGCCCATCCAGGACTATTGTTCGGGCTTATTGAAGCTCTACGGAGACCGGCGCAAGTTCTTCCTCCTTTTTTTTTAAAGGTCAGCCAAGGCCCCTGCATGGTCATGACATTCCTGGTCAGTCTCCAGGCCGGGAGTGTTTATTCCTTATCTCTCAGCCTCTGGTAAGGCCAAGATGATGAGATCCATGGATCATATGTGAAGACTGAGGTGCAGAGAGAAGGGACTTGCCTGCAGTCACAAAGTCAGTAAGAACAAAGCACTGGTATAACCATTCCATCTTCACAGCAAACCTGGGAGAGGAAAGGATTCTTCCCATCTGACCCCCTGAGGAAGCTAAGGCTCAGAGAGGCTAAGGAGCTTGTTCAAGGTCACACCGCTAGTGAGGAGGGCCAGCAAAACAACAGTGGGGATGATCGTGTTACTAAGTTAACATGCATTTGGCCATTACCATGTACCAAGCATCACCTCATTGAACGGCCTCAGTTCAGGGAAGTAGGAACTATTATTTACCCCCGATTTTGCGGATGAGCAGACTGAGGCTCAGACAAGCAAAGTGCTGAAGTCACATAGTTAGCAGTGACTGGACGGAAATGAGCTCACTTGTATGGGGCACGCAGTGTGTGCTGAGCACCTTATTTAATCCTAACAAACCTACCAGGAGAAGATGTGTACTTTTCTCAATTTTACCCAGGAGGAAAGCTCTGAAGAGTTTTGTGTGTGTTTTTTTTTAATTTATTGATTTTAAACAGGGAGAGAAGGGGAGAGAGAGAAAGAGGGAGAAACATCGACTTCATGAGTTCATTGGTTGACTCCTGCATACGCCTTGATCAGGGATGGAGCCTGCAACCCTGGCATATCGAAAACTCTCCAACCAACTGAGCCGCCAGCCGGGGCCCAGAGTAGTTGTTTAATGAGGGTCACACACCTCTGTAATGGGGATGTAGCAATGATAAGCTAACGTGCAAAGAGCAGGTACCAGGAACCACGAAATCTGTCATTATTCTCTGGCTCAGAGTCAAGGAACTTGTGCAAGGCCACACCGCCGGTGAGGGGTGGGCGGGGACCTGAACCCGGATTTCCAACGAAGGTGACCCCTCTGTGGGAGGGGAAGGGGCTGAACCCCCAGGAGTCACCTGCCCCTTGGCCCGCAGGGATGCGGCCCTTCATCCAGGACCAGGACATTGGCTACTTCGAGGGCTTCCTGGAGGGCGTGGGCATCCGCGAGGGCGGCATCCTCACCGACAGCTTCGGCCGCATCAAGCGCAGCATGAGCTCCACGTCGGCGTCCGCTGTGCGCAGCTACGACGGCGCGGCCCAGCGGCCCGAGGAGCAGACCTTCCACCGGCTGCTGGCGGACATCACGCACGACATTGAGGCGCTGGCCCCCGACGACGACGACGAGGACAGCACAGACGAGGAGGCTCGGGGCTCCCCGGGCGGGAATGAGGCATCCGAAGACAACTACCTGTAGCCTGTGGCTGCGCCCAGGCGGAAGGCGGAGCGCGTGGCCCTGCCACCTCGCCTTGGACTCTCACTCTGGTCTGGGGAGGTGCCCATCCTCAGGGCCCCTCCTCACCCCACCCCCACCCC